GAGCCTCTCCTGCTCCCTGCCCCCCTCCCCCCCCCCCGGGGGGGCCCCTCCTGGGCAGTGCAGGACGTTGGTCTCCTGTCTCTGCGCCTCGCCCCCCGCCCCCCCCCCTCCCCCGGCGGGGACGGGGGCGCAGGCACGCCAGCCCCCGCTCGCCCCATTTGTCGTCCCCCTTTTTCATGCCTGGCCGGGGAGCGAGGGGACGCGGGGGGGGAGGGGGGGCAGGGAAGGGGGGCGCAAGTCTGCCACCCCAGTCGTAGCGGCTGGGGGGCGCGGCGGGGCGGGCGAGGGGGGGGGGGCGGCCTCGCAGAGCGCCGCGGCGGGCGGCAGAGGGCTGTCCGTCTTCTGTCCTCTCTCTCGCCGCCCGGCCCCCCCTGTCCCGGGGCGGAGCGGGGCGGGGCAAGGGTCCAGTGGGGGACCCGTGCGTAGACGGTCCCCGGTTTCTGTGACGGGGAAGGAATGCAGGCCGTGGGCTGCGGTGTGCATGGGCGTAGTGGTGTGGTACTCTCAGGGGAGGCCGCGCCCCTTGTCCCCTCGCACTCCCCCCCCCCGGGGGACGGGGCGGTGTGAGGGGGCGGCGGAGGGGAACACGGAGGGAGGCCCCGACGGGGCGTGGGCCCGTGCGTTCTCCCTTCGCCTGTGGTCGCTTTCTTCCGTCCCTGCCCGCTGCCCCCTCTCTCTTTCTTTCTTTCCTGCCGTGGGGCCCGGGCGCGCTCGCGCACGCACGCGCCAAGGCGTTCATTCAAGTACATGAGTGGTGCTTTTGGCACCGACGAAGCGGGGTTGGCTATCAAGCTTTTTGTTCTCTTTTGTTTTGGCGGTTCGTTCCCCCCGTCATCCTCTGCCCCCCCCCTTGTCTCCCTCTCCCTCTCCCTCTCTGTCCGTCTCTTGCCCCTCCCCCTCCTGTCCCCTTTGGTGTTTGCTGACACACCCACCCACGCCCCGCCGTGCCCCTCCCCTACGCCCCTTCCGTCGTGCTCTTTCCCCCGTATGCGCCTCTTCCCTCCGCCAGAATTTGAGGCTTCATTTTTCTCCCCCCCCCCCCCCCCCCCACCCCCCACCCCACCCCCTCCCTCGGGGGCTCCCTCCTGTCGAGGGCAGCGGATGATGCCCCGAAGCAGGGCGACGAGCAGCGCCCCCCCCCCCCCCACCCTTCCCACAATGTCCACCATCTCCCGCGAGGACCTCGTCTACATGGCCAAGCTCGCCGAGCAGGCCGAGCGCTATGAGGGTGCGCCCCCCCCCCCCTCTCCCGCCCTCTGGCTCTTCTCCATTGCCGCCCTCCCCGTCACGATTTTGTTTCTCCTCTCTCTCCCCCCCCTTCCCTGCCTCATGCTGTGATCGCCTTCCTCACCCCCCCCCCCTCGCCCACATCCCTTGTTCCCGCACACGCGCGCGCCCATTTTGTGCAGATATGGTCTCCTGGATGACCAAGGTCACCGAGGGCGACACCGAGCTCTCCGTCGACGAGCGCAACCTCCTCTCCGTCGCCTACAAGAACGTCATCGGCGCCCGCCGTGCCTCCTGGCGCATCGTCACCTCCGTCAAGGATAAGGTATGCCCAGGCCCCCCTTTCCCCCCCTCCTCCTCCACCTCGGTTGGCATATGTTCTCATGTGTCAGGAGGGGCAGAGTGGGCGAGAAAGGGACATGCATGTTCTGCCACTGCTGCCTCCCTCTTGCTCCCTCTCCATGGTGTGGCCGGTCGATCAGCCTCTGACCTCCTTCTCTTGTCCTTCCGCCTCCCCGTCCTCTTGCCCTCTTGCAGGAGGAGTCCAAGGGCAACGAGCGCCACGTCCAGCGCATCATCGAGTACCGCGCTCGCATTGAGAAGGAGCTCTCCGACATCTGCAAGGAGGTCATCAACATCCTCGAGGTCTCTCTCATCCCCAAGGCCGTCGGTCCCGAGTCCAAGGTCTTCTACTACAAGATGTATGTTGGCTGTTGTGGCGTCTTCTTTTTTTTTGCCGTGCCAACCCCATTGCCATGCGCCGCGCGCGCATCTCCTCCCCTCCCCCCTATTCCGCCCGTGACACTCACACCCATCCGGGGTCCTGCGCTTCTCGCGTCCTTCCCTTCTGCTCTCAGGGTCGGTGACTACCACCGCTACCTTGCTGAGTTCCTGACCGGCGACGAGCGCCAGAACGCCGCCAACCAGGCCATGACCGGTGCGCTCTTGCCCTTTCTTCTCCTCTTGTGGCCTCTTCTCGCGCTCCGCCCCTTTTTATCCCTTCTCCATTTCTGACGCTCATCCCTTCCTTCTCTCTTTTCTCCCCTTTCCCCCCCCCTTCCATACATCACATAGGCTACCGCTCTGCCTCCGAGACCGCCGAGCAGGAGCTCTCCCCCACCAACCCCATCCGCCTGGGTCTGGCCCTGAACTTCTCCGTTTTCTTCTACGAGGTCATGAACTCCCCGGACCGCGCTTGCGCCCTGGCCAAGCAGGCCTTCGACGACGCCATCGGTGCGTGTGCCCCTTTCTCTCCTGCCTCTGGCGGCAGAAAGGCTCCTGCATTTGCCACGCGCGCGCGCGCCCCCCCCTGTATCCAAGTTTTGCCTCCATATCTCCGGCATGTGTGTTCGCACGCGCTTGCCCGTCGTCGCCCTGCCATGGGCGGGGAAGGCGGCACACCGGGGGGGGGGACAGCACACATGTCCTGCTACTTTCGCCAATGCTCTCCCCTGATGGCAGCCGGGCGAAGGGGGCATACATCCTGTGGGGCATCGCGCGCGCGGCCATGGCGCACAGGAGCCACTCCCCTCGCGCGCATGCTCATCCAGGCGGCCCCTGACCCCCCTCCCTCTAATATGCCGATCGGCATGTGACTCACATCCACGTTCTCCCTCCTCTCCGCCCCCTTGTGTTTTTGTGCATGCGATCATTCCCCCTCCACTCGCAGCCGAGCTCGACACCCTCTCCGAGGACTCCTACAAGGACTCTACCCTCATCATGCAGCTCCTGCGTGATAACCTCACCCTGTGGACCTCTGACGTCGAGTGCAGTACGTGCCCTCCCCCCTCTCTCCTCCCCGATCTACGGATGCGCTCCCCTCGCCCCGTGCTGCCGCCGCGCCCACATCGGGCAGAAGACGGAGTCCCCTTCGTGGGTCTTCCTCTCTCCGTGGCCCGGAGCGCGAGGGGGTGTCTCTTTCTCCCTCTCTCTTTCATGCTCTCGGCACATACCGCGGCAGACTCCCATGCCCACACACACACACACACATGCTCCGCCATCGTGCCCCTTGGTCGCCGCGCCCGCACCGTGCTGCTCCTCCCTGAGAACCGCATCCTCACACTTCCCGTCCTTTCTCCTCCCCCCCCCCCCAGCCTAAATGTGCTCTCTTGGTGGCTCGCTTGTGACGAACCAGCCTCTCCTCGTCTCCCCTGTCGTGCACGCGGGGTGTGGCTTCCCTTTCCTCGTTCTCCCTGCCCCTGCATTTCGCCGCGTGCCGTCCTCCTCTCCCAGCCCCCTTTCCTCCCCTTCTCGGCCCTATACACACACATCACTATAACTTCTTCAACAGCTGCCGCGTCTGTCATCTTCTCTTGTCCTTTTTCTTGTTGCCTTTCCCATGTGTGTGTGTGTATGTGTGATAGTGTACCGGGCCTCTCTTGTTCTGTGTCCAAGGCGAGGGGGGGGGAGAGAACAGCCAAGAGGAGAGGGGCGCCCCGGGCCTCGGCTGTGTGTGGGGGGCCGCCCTGGACGTGTTTTCCGTTCCCTCGCGCCAAGCCGCCGGCTCCCCAGGTCTCCGGGAGACCTTTCTTCTTTGCCCACCCCCCTCTTTGAAGGGGGAAACTCCGAAGAGGCTGGCACGCCTGTCCCCCTTCCCTCTCGCCCCATCTTTCTCTCGTATGTGTCAATAATAGACCATTATTTGGAGTGATACCAACACATATGAAGAGCCATTTTGGGCGTGAGAGGAAGAGGGCCCATCTTCCCTCGGTCCGTGTATGTGTGTGTCTCGTTCTCTCACTCTCCCTGCCTCTTTCGCTCAGTCTCTCCGTTGACGGGGGGGGGGGGGGAGCGACGTCGGGGCCCATTCGGGTGGCGCGGTCTACCACGTTCCGCGCATGGGAGTGTCCTTGCCCCGCGAGAATGACTGAGTCACCAGCCGCGGGCCAAGTGTTGTGTCCCTCGCTCCCCCCCCCGCCCCCCAATGCCGGGTGCCGAAAGGGGCCTGGCCCGGCTGTGTGGGCGGGCTTCCTCCAGGGCAAGAGGGGCAGCGGGGAGCTGTGGGCCAAAGAGAGAGCATGTCCTGGTGGTCAACACACGCACATCACCGGCCATGTCACTCGGGCACACAGCAGCCAGCCACTCGCGCCCCCCTCCCCCCCCCCCCCCCCCCGCCGCCGGGCGACGCACACATCGCCGCCAGACCACCCTAAGGGCCCGTTGTCCAAATGATGTGCGTGCATTTCAGGGGTCATGGTCCCGCCAGGGCAAGTCCTAAACCGCCACATAGTCAAGTGATCGATAACATGACATGGCGGATCAGATGCCGATGAACTAAGACATGAATCATTGGCAGTATGGATTGCCGCCGGCTGGCCCCAGGCCGGGGTGTCTCTCCCCGCGTGCGTATCCGGCCTCCATGTCTGTGCGAGTGTATGCGCGCGCGGGCACGAACCTCGGATGGATCAGTGTCACACATGGGGGTCAGGTCGCGCTATTGTGGCGTCTTTACTTCGGTGCGTGCCGTGGGGCGGGTGGTCCCCCACGCGCCTGCCCTTGCGTGCAGAGGGGCGCACAAAAAGCGTATCGGGGGCCCGCGCACGCGGACATTCGCGCCCCTGAGGGTGGGGGGGGGGGGGACAGAAAACGCCCACTACCAGGGCGGTTCCCCGGCCCGCCGGCCTCCCCGGGCCCCGACGGGCGGGCTGGGGCAGGCCGGCCGCCTGTTGCCTCTTCCATGTCGGATGAGATCTCGAGAGGGCGTCTTCTCCTTGCAGCCGGGGAGATGGGTCCGCGCCTCCCGCCTTATTGCCCTCAGAGGGGGAGGGGGGGGGGGGGGAACGGGAGGGCCGACATGCGCCGATGGCGCCGCGCACTCCGCGTGCCCCATTCACCGGTTGCCGCGTGAATATGCCCCCACCCCTTGGCCTACGCCCGGGCCGCGCCTGAGTTTCGTCCCGAGAGAACGGTCCCAAACATGGCACACAAACACCGAAGGTGTGGTTCCCCCCC